CAGGGTGGCCCCCCCCCCCCCCAGTCGACGATCCACAAGGCCGGGTTTTGTATGTACTGCGATCGCTGGCGGCCGTTCTAGTAAAGAGGTCTGGTGATTAGGGACCGAGAGGATATGCCTGGAGCCGCTGAGCGCGTCCCGGCCCCCTCAAAGTAATAGGGTTCCTTCTGGGGAGGCTCCGCTCCAATGGTTCAATGTCCCACTTGAGCCGACCTTAATCATGGCTGTGGGATGAAAGAAAATTTTCTGTTGCATTTCGTCCACCCGTACTCCGTACTCCAGAGTGCTGCTGTGATCGGATCTGTATCTATCTTGACTTCAGCAAAAGAGCCCATCATCCAACCATGGACTTGCCGACTTACTGGCATGTCGCTAGGGGGGTGCGGCTTGGGAATTCCGCCTGCCACAATTGACTTGGAATGGCCTAACAAAGGTTTCCATTTTGCCTGGTCGGAGATAAACATGGGCAGGGGCTTGTGTCAACATGATCTGGAACAGTTGCCGCTGGCCACCCCTCGGCCATGCCATCGCAGTCGTTGCCAAGTTACGGGCACCGACGTGAGGCACAAAGAAGCCATCGAGAGAAGAAAGAGAGGCATGCCATGTCTTGGGGTTCGTGCCAGGCAAAGCTGGTTGCCAAGGTTTCGCAAGACTGGAAGGGCGCAACCGGGCAAATCTGCCATTTGACCCTTCACACATGTGGCCAAGCGTCGATCCACCATTCTTTGTCGCTGCATCTTCTCTTATCAGTAAATTCTATTTCCATGTACTCAGTGCGGACTACGGAGCACTCCATGCCCAGTTTCGCAAGGCACAAGCAGTCAACAGTCGTTTCCAGAGCCGGGCATGGCCTGATAAAACAGCAGCTTGCTCAGCTGACGTCTTGGCTGCCTCCGTCGAAGTCCATCCAATTGACCAGCGTAGTATTCGCATACCGTGCAATATAATACGATACCTTCACGTTAAACGCGATGTGACATGAGCCAAGCAAATGCGGAGGTGGTTTGGTGGTATGGAACATCTGAACTCGGCTAATGTATGTACAAGCTTTCTATCAGGGCTATCGTCGAAAAAATGCGCAAGAAACCATGGTTTTGACGAGTTATTAATACTCGTAAAGTACATTCACGATCGATGTACTGATGATAACCGTGCTTCGGAACAAGGCATAGCCCCGCTTCCCTGCTTGTGCGAACCCATGGCGCCGAACAGCCAAAGCCGGACATGGATGTTCCTCAGGGTTTCCAGTGAGAAAGCTCGGTGCCAATGACGAGTTCATTGAGGATCCCGTGATTTTTGTGTCTTAGTTTGATATGGCAGACACTCCTTCCGTCAAAAGTAGTCCATTTGCAGGTTTAGGTTGTTTGAATTATGGCACATCAACTGATTGATACGCTGATTTGGTCGAGAGAGATAGATGGTCGGCTGAAAAGTTGAAATACGACACTTGGCGACTCCCCAAGGCACGAGTCAGTTCATAATGATGGCGATGCGTCGCCACATCATCAATTACGGCGTGCTATGGGGTAGGGAGATTTTTTCCACATTGGTTTCAGTTACCGTCTGCGGCAGAATATGGAATATTTATGAACAAGCATTCCGTAATACACCATGGTATGTTACAATATGGATGTTGATAGCCAGGCATCTTGTCTGGCCAAAGACTTTCTTTCTTTTGGCCTCCCAGAAGGAGGACAAATTGAAGACGACGCTGACCACTACCCCTCCTCGGCATTGGCTGGAGACTTCTTCATTCTGCTGTGTAACGAATGGCCAGCTCACCGTTGGACGGCAGGATGACTGGTGTCCGAGGGACACAACACACTTTCCCCGTGCAGACAGGTCGAGACTCGGCATTCGAACGGAGATTTGAGCTACATCACATGGCCGAGAGCACGCGGAGCTTTCAAGGAATCTGTAATGGTTTGTCGCAGGGTTGGGGTAGTGGTTGAAGCAGTGGGTTCAAGACACGGGACCAATGCACGATACAGATATCAAAGTCCACTTGATGCAAATGGCCGACTTGGAGAGTTCAGCTCATGTAGCGTGGAGGCGCGGTTGCCAGTCGACTGAGGGTGTATGCACGACACATCATGCTAAGCGCTGTTTCCGTGTAACCTATCAAACCTGTTTCCATGTAGAGACCAGCGAGCACTGGTAATCCTCCGCACCAGATTGATGGTGATGATGGCGAGGCGAATTAGTCCATGCATGTCGTTTTCGTAGCGTCGGAGAAGTTTGGCTACGTCAACTCGGCACCGCATGGTGGGTGCATCGCGGATCGCGCCATGAAGATGTGAGGTTGAAGAACGGGGCATTGTCTCCAGGGTTTCGGCACTCTGGAGTAAGGGCAGTCGAGATTGATGAAGGTCCTTCGTGCCGGCACAAGCTCGAGACGCGCACTTCTGGCCTGGCGTTTAGACCTAAAATGATTCAATGCTACCCTGTTGAGGCTCCTGCGGCGGCGCCAGCCAACCAGAGAAGGGAGCGGCTTGGCGAGGGTCCAGCCGGGTTGCGGTCAAGATCCAAGTCTCCAGCGCCAAGCCCAGTGTAATGTAAAGAAGTCAGTGAGTACTGAGCAGTAACACTGAACTACCAAACACTGAAGGTTGCCAGCTCGCTACGGTGGGCCCCATGTGCTGTAGCTTTGACCCCCGACATGTCCAGTGCACCAACGATTCAACCACTTAGTCCACACTACTGCTGGTGCGGAAATATCTGCAGGAAAGAGCTGCAGTATCCGTGAGGCTAGCGCGACCAACCGTTTCCAGCAGCGCTCAAAAATGCAGCCGGGGTGCTTCACTCTTCGATCTTGGGAAAAAAAAAAAAACCATATAACTACCTAGGTATCTACTACTACCCTTCCTCCTACTTAGGTACAGGGACTTGAATCGGCATCGTGCATTCTTAAACAGCTATGCCCAGTCTCTGCTTTGGTTGGGCTCTTTAACCCTCTGCCCATTGGCTTTGTTTCCTCGCACAAGCGCCCTCCGTTCTTTTCATCTCAAGCCCCAATCCCCTTGAGAGTATCACGTCACCATAGCCCACGTCAAATCTCGCCTCTCATCGACTCAAGCCTCGCAAAGGCGAGTCTGATGAAAGTGTACAAGAGCCTTGCCAAACTGCCGCTGCAATGAGTTCACCAAATCACCGCTCCAGCCCGGTCCGCCGGCCCTCACTGCTCTCTCTCGACGACAACCATCACCACTATCCACTGGCCACTCGAACCGGTACTCTCGCCTCACTCATCCGCAGCCGCTCTCAACAAAGCTTGGCCGGCTCTTGGCCTCCTCCACTCCATCGTCATGGCACCGACGACGAGGAAGCTGGCCTGTGGATGCGTCACGACGAAGACGATGCCATCGAGCGCCTCCTCAAGGATGAGAATCGCTTGAGTCAGATTCTCAAGGGTCCATTGGCTCGAAGTATGAACCTGATTGGTAAAAGCAACCCTCGATATCGATGGGAGCGCTACTGGAAACATGACGACGAGTTGCAGGCCATGAAGAAACCCATGTGAGTGAGACACGTGCAAACACGAACACCATCACGAACTCGCGTGACTAAATACTGACTTTCGTGTAAGACGAGAATATTATGAGCGGACAAATGAGCTCATTGAACAATACATGTACATTGACTGTCTACTGGATTCTTCAATTCCACACGATTTGCTCAATGAGTACAACGCCGAACTTGAAGCCTCTGCTTTCAAGCCCATTGATGTCCCCGCCACTATTACCGAGGAGCCGGGCACATCTCAGTCCCTCTCCGCGTCCCTATCAGCATCTCTTACCGCTTCAATGGAGCAGCACGCGCAAACCACTGGCTCGTATGGCACAGTCAACGGTAACGCCAACAGCTCCCCTGTCGATGAATTCTCCAAGCAGGTTGCGTTGCCACAAAAACGGACACCAAAGGACATCTTCCGGTCCTCGGAAAACTTGCCTCTGTTAAAACATTCCCATGACGATAGCGAGGAGGAGGATCACACGGCACGCCCCGCTCTTCCATCCAGCTCGAGCGACTCTGGCCCGCGGCCAAATCTACCTTGGCTTGAAGATGCTGAAATCGACAGCGATGATCCAATTGTCACCCTTGCCATCTGGGTGAACATGATTGCCAACATTATTCTACTCGTTGGAAAAGTCGCCGTAATCGTATCTGTGCCCTCTATGTCCGTTCTGGCTAGTTTGGTCGACGCAGTTCTCGATTTTCTTAGTACCGCTATTGTGTGGACTACCACGCGGTTGATCTCGGCTGGTCAACAGGATCAGCATCACTATCCCGTGGGACGTCGTCGGTGTGTATTTCCCAGCCACTCTCTAGCAATAGAACTCCAGCTCACCCATTCACAGATTGGAACCTGTGGGAGTTTTAGTCTTCTCCGTCATCATGGTCACATCCTTTGTCCAAGTTGGCCTAGAATGTATCCAACGTCTTGCAAGACCCGAACATGAGATTCTCCAACTCGGTCTCCCCGCCATCATCATCATGTTCAGCACTATTGTCGTCAAGGGCGGATGCTGGGTTTGGTGCAGACTAGTTAAAAATTCTAGCGTTCGAGCCTTGTACGTTCGCGAACTCTTCCTCAAACATGGCAATCACTAACACATTTTCAGAGCCGATGACGCCAAAACCGACGTCATTTTCAACGTTGGCTCAATCTTCTTCCCCATCGGTATGGATAATAGGCCCCTCTGCTCTACAAACCCATTTCTGACTCTTTATAGTCGGCTTCTATGGCCGAATATGGTGGCTCGACGCTGCTGGCGGTCTCCTTCTCTCTCTCGTCGTCATCCTCACATGGAGTCAAACATCCGCTCATCACGTCCGTAACCTCACTGGTTTCTCGGCCCAGCCCGACGAGCGTAACCTCCTTCTCTATCTCACCATGCGCTTTGCAACCGCTATCCGACAGATTCAGAACCTGCGCGCCTACCATGCCGGCGACAAATTGTTTGTAGAAGTGGACATTGTCTTGTCGGCTGTTACGCCGCTCAAGGATAGCCACGACCTGAGTGAAGTGCTGACGTATTTCTTGGAGTCGGTGCCCATTGTGGATAGGGCATTTGTGCATGTGGATTACACAAGTTATAATGCTCCGACGCACATGCTCAAGCAAAGTTCTGCATGACCCCGTTAGTCTGGGGATCCGAGGCTACGGGGTGAGTGACGGGATATGAAAAGTTACGGGAACCCGAGTAGATGGATATTCTTGGCAGGACAGGGCATCCATCCTGGCAAGAGTAGTATACCATGCAATTTACACAGCGAACCATACAAGCTTGTACATTATGCGACTGAAAGTTATTATTACTTGAATAACATGGGAAAATATAAAGAACTAGACAAACTTTGACTTGAAAAGCAGAACAGAAAACCCAATAGGATCAAAACAGCACCGTTAGTAAGGGATGCCGTTCGTAAGCAACTGGAACTGGTCATAGACGCCAGTACTATAACTAGAATAACTCGTCTTGATTAAGCCCTTCATGAAATTGGCCGCCTCCCTCTCCGACTTCTCCAGCACAAATCGTTCCTTGAAATGCTTGACACTCTCCGGCTTGAAACATGGCAGGCCGCTGTCCATCATGAGCAGCACAATCTGGCTAAGTTTCTCGCAGTACTGTCTGCTAGCGAGGAAGGACTTGACACACAGCTCCTCGAACCACTTGAAGCTCTGGTGGTCGGTTGACCCGCCCATGACAGCCACCATTTCGCTGGTCAACTTGAACGGTGCGCGCTCGAACTTGATCCCCCCAGGCGCAATATCGAAGCAGAAGCCAAAATCAATGTGAAGGATGTGGCCGGCATCGTCAATCATAATGTTGCCGTTGTGGCGGTCCTTGAATTGAAGCAGGAACGAAATGACGGAATAGGCAGCCATGGATTTGACAAAGTTGCTGCGGGCTCGCTGGAAGCGGAGGGAGTCTTCGTTGCCGTACTTGGAGACGAAGTAGTCGTAGAGACCGTTGACGGCTTCTCGGCCAAGCATATCACGGGAGATGGAGTTGGGTAGCACGTCAATGACACCGCATCCCGGAGCCGTGGCAGTGACGCGGTACGGGAAGACGTAGACATCCAGGCCCACGCTGTGGAAGATGCCGCGGAAAGCGGAAATCATCTGAAGAGCTAAAACGTCCTGCCTGCAGTCGTCACCGACTTTGAAAATAGCTGACTGCCACACCTCAATGGTGCGGTCCTGGAATTGATGTTGGTCTTGCCCCTTGTCCTCCTGTGTTTGTTCAAGGGCCATACCGTTGACCTCATCTTCGCCACTCTTGTTCTTGCGAATACGGAATGTGGCCATGTAGGGCGCTTTCGCGTGACTCTGGAGGGGTTTGCCAGACTTGCGGTCGATGCCAATAACAACACCATCAGGGTTGCTGGGCAGATAGACGCCGACCTCAACCTTGATCTTGCGGAGTTCCTCCTCAATCTTTTGTTTCTTCTCGGGCTTAGGCCTCTTAATGAGGGGTTTAAGCTTGCCAGAAATGCCAGTAACTTCGTCAAAGAAGGCAAATTCTCGTTCGTAAAAATCTCTGTCCAGGGGATTAAAACTTTGCACCATCTTACTCATGACGCCATCAAGAGCGGGCTTGATCTCATCTGGAACCTGAGCGTCATCATCCTTGTACGAGTTTGCTTTCATATTCCAAATAATTTGATGTGCAAACAACTGGGAGAACTGTGCAGTTTCCAAGATGTAACGCTCGACGTAGCCCAGAGCATCATATCTGAGCGTCTGCACAATTTGGGGAACGTAGAAGAAGGTGACGTCTACAGAATGACTCTCTAGCGCCCTCATGGCATACTGGATAATGAACGGGTGGTTCTTGTAGGCTGGCAAGAACATGGTGACGGCTGTAAGGGGGTTGACGGGTTCCCAAATGAGGAGGTACTTAAATACGTTAGAATGCTGCGTATAGCGTTGTGGCAGAAGTATGCGGTCAACTTACTTTGAGCTGTGAATTTACATCATCAGGTAAATGTCCTCCAAATATCAAAGGTAAAGCTTCTGGGTCAGAGATTGCCTTCTCGGGGGCGGACAAGAGCAAATGCCTGACGTCCCTATGAAGACGAGGAAAGTTGAACCTCGTGGCAAGCTCAATAGCAATAGAGGGGTCCTGCTGCCAGGCTGTTTTGACTAGAGGAATCAGGGCGTTCTCAATAGACGACTTTGACGTATTGTGTGCCGACAGTTGCAGTCCCTGTTGGCTGAGAGGGTTGATCCAGACCGCAAGCCTTGACTGCTCATTTTCCAGCAGCAATTGAAGCAGCTGCTCCTTGGCGTGCAGAGACTTGGCATTGGCTGCAACAGGGGCTCCAGTAACGGAATTCGCCTTCATGGCGGCCAAAACATCAGCAATTAATCGAACCTCAGTCTTCAACTGAAGTATATTACTGCCAAAGGACCACTTGGGGGCGTTTCTGAACCAGCCAAGACCTGCGGACAAAATCTTATCCCGGAACCTGAACTGTGCCATTTCCCCAATTGACGTGCTCGAGGAGCGAAGGACCTTGAGGCCAAGTAATACTAGCTGAAACCGCAGCTCTCGTGCCATAGGGTGCGAGGGAGCTTCTTTCAGAGCAGTCAGCGTGAGGTCTAGCATGCGCAAGAACACTCTTTGTATGTCACAGCTTCCCAGGAGAGTAGCGTTGAAGTGACTGGTGAAGAATTGCACAAGTCGTGTGTGCGGCGACAGCACGTCATGGACAGCCTGTCGCTTCTTGGCCATGAGCTCAAGGTCGCTCGGAGCAAACTCTTCCTTCAGGAAAAACGGATCGGGATGTGCCAATGCCGAGCTAAAAAGTCCAACTTTTCGAGAAACAGTAAACTCCCACTGTTGGGCAATGCAGTTCAAAAGTTTTGGCTCGAGTCGCGGGTTCTCATTCATCACACCGAGCCACAGTGAAACACCAACCTTGATAGACTGCTTGGTAAACAATGCGAAGGGTATACTAACGAGGTATTTTGCAACTGCCGACTCGTCCCGGTAACTTCGACAGAGCAAGGCTGCGGCTCGTCTCAAGATGTCGCGGACTTCGTTCAAGGACGTTGCCTTTTTGCTCAAAATGCGGGCCTCAACATGAGCCAAGGCAGTTGCGGCGTTGGCGCTCTCGGTCACATGTGACTGAGAAAAGGACAATCGTCGATTGACGCTCATGAAGCTAATCAGCTCTGTTCCACGATCTGGTAATGTCTCGCCATATCGATACTCTTGTCTCGTCGTATACTGAGCAATGAGGTCTGAGCCAGTATTGATCTCACAAGTACCAACTCTTTCCAGAGACTGAAGTCGATTGTCAGACGATGGGATGATGGAGCCCAGCTCTAGCGCAAACGACCTGCCCAGAGAAATGTTGCCATAAGCACCCTCGTTGTCAAATTCAGAAAGGTACGTCTGTAATAAGCCCTTGACGTCCATGGGTGCGAGGTTAATAGCGGCGGTAACCCAGACTTTTGCTTTACGGTGTAGATGATCGAGGGTCCAACGGCGGAAATCATAGTCGTCGGACAATTCCACAGTCACTTTCCCAATGTCCGATTTGAAGGTGGATTCGGGTGTGTAAAGATCAGTTTCAGCCTCGAGGCAACTCGACCACATGAGGGAGAGCAATTCAAGAAGAGCAAAGAGTGACTTTCTCTGGCACAGAGCAGAAGGAACATCCCGAATGATGCGGTCCGCACATGTAAACGCAGCTTGCTGTACACGCTCAATGCGATGACAACAAATGCAGAAAATATTTGCCAGCTGTGTTGCTGCATACTGTGCTGAAAAGGTGGGCTCTGAGCCAGCCAGCGTCTTCTTGAGATACTTTTCGACAACTGCAGCAGCAATGCCTTCCATTGTGCTGCTTACTTCGCCCTTGCGCATGCTGGGTTCTAAAAAGTAGGACAGGACCTTTGTGCAGTCGCCCGTATCGGCTCGTAGACTCTCAACAAGGTAGGCGGCCTGCAGGAAGATTACTTTGCGATAGCTGAGGCTCTTGATGTCGGATGCCTTGGATGGAATCAACTCAATCAGGAGTTTCTTTTGTGCGGCTTCTCGCTCCCCACTGTTTGCGCGTCTGAGCACCGTGTTGAGTTCGATGTCACTCTCGACGACTTCCATTCGCTCTCCGGCTACCAAGGGAGGCGAATGAACAGCAATGGAACGAAGCTCATTAATATACTTCCTGCCACGATCTGTGGTTGTGGTGAAGCCGTGAACAACAATGTTAAACCACGCATCCTTGAGTAACAGATACGTCTCATCGTCATCAACGGGGTTTGATGCAACATCATTGCTGGACATGAACACTGCCAAGGGATGCAAAAGCTCGGCGATCTCTTGTGCAGCCAGCTGCACGTCTGACTCCTTTGTGTGGTGTGGAGATTCAGCATCACCGAGTGAGATGATGGCGTCAAGCAGATGTTCCCAGTAAATATTGAAAAGGGAAGAGTCACGACGCAAATTGGCCGAAATGTACGTACGGGCCTTCATGACAGCGGTCAAGAGAAAGTCTTTGTGGTCCACAACACCAATGTGGCAAATCCTGCTGTACGTTTTGAGCAATGAGCGAAACTCTAGCTGTCCACCATGGAGAGAGAGCTTGGCTGCGCCAGAGATCACCTTGGTGTCAACACTGGCATTGACCTTGTCAAGCTTTTGAAGGAGCATCGACTGTGCCAAGGCAATGATCTTCTCGTCGCCAGACTCGGTGGCAATAATGCAAATGGCTTTCACCACATTGCCATAGACAATAGCAGTCTCTTGCTCGCCATTCATTAGAAGTGATATTGAACTACCGGTGGAATGACGGCGGCTATAGCCTCCGGGAGCTGAGCCTTCATCGGCCCCGGCCATGCCATCAGCGAGACCGTTGGCAATTTCTGCGTCAGCATCCGGGCTTAAGACATTTCCGAGGGTGTAAAGAGTGCTGATGATGGCGTCCTTTGATAGCAACTTTAATACAAAAGCCAAACTCTTGGAGGCCACTCTGATAGAGTCGCCATGTGGTGTCGTCTGGACCAAAAAGCGAGGAAGAGCACGGCTAACAGATGACGAATAAGATGGTGAAATTCGGCAAAGGAGGGCCATGCATCGCAGAACAACGGCAGCAAGGCCAGGGTCAGACATTTGCAAGGTA